AACTTCTACCCCTGACCCACGCTGCCACCCCTACTATTGCAAACAGTCTAAGTCTGAACCTAAGCGGGATGAGGACGTCCCTAAGTTGGGTGCGTTGTGAAGACACCGCGGAAGGGTCAGACTGAGGCAGGGCTCCCCTTCCAAATCTTAACCGACGGGAAGGGGCGCGGCCGCTGACCTGGGGTCTTCCAGAGAAGAAGGCGGGTCCTTCCTCCTGGGGCGGGAGGCCCTCCCAGGGGCCGGGCGCGGCCCACCAGCTTCGGCCTCCCCTCGGGGAGAAGCGGGATCCGCGGGCCTGGCGGGAAAGCGAGGAAGCGCGAGGCTCTCGAGGGCTGCGACCCAAACTGGCTCTCCCCGGCCAGCCCCAGCCTTGGGCGGACCAACGCGCAGCCCGCGGCGCGACCCGACGTGGGCCTCGCGCTCAGGGCGTCTGCGGCGCCTGTGCGCTTCGCCCGCTCGGTTCCGCCCGCGACCTGCGCCGCCGGGCCGGAAGAGCCCGGATGCTGCGCTCGCCGGCGGCGCGGCGTGAGGCGGGGAGGGCGCGTCCCGGCCCCCACCCACCGGGCGGCCGCGAGGGCCCGGGGCTGGGCTCCTCCCGCGGCGCCCCTGCGGCCCTGTCGCCCTGAGGCCGGCGCCCTTGGTGCCGCGGACCGAGTGGGAGCGGCCGCCGCCGCCGCTCCAGCGACCGCGTAGATCGGCCGCCGCGCCGAGCTCGCGCCGGGGCTCGGACAGCTGCTCCCTGCACGGTTCCTGAACTCCTGAAGCTGATATTCCGTTTGCTCCTCAAAAGGGAAAATCCCCGGTCATAGTGTACCATAACCGAATTGCTGATAGTTCGGTGGGGTTGGGTGGAGGGGTAGGTTTGCCTTTTTTAAATCATCACTTTCTGCCTTCTTCTTCTTCTTCTTCTTACGGTACTCTGGCGAGTTTTCTTTTAAAAACGAAGCGAATTATAATTTGTAAAATGTTTAGAGCGTTCAAGAAATATCCCAGTTTGAAAAGGAAAAACTGCAGCTTTTTTCCATTTTCTGTTGTGAGCAGTTGTATATTGTTCCTAGCCAATTAAGCACACAAGCCTAAAATGAAAATACAAGACAGTCAGATTGCTATAACTTAACTTTGTAATGGAGCCTTTTTTCAAGTTTTTATCAAATAAAATTTAATATGCTGTTTTTAAAATGCTGACACATTTTAGTTGTGCCTGAAAATCTCGAGAAAGAAACATTGTTCTCTTCGTCTATTTCCAATAAATTTAAAATGCAACCTCTCAAGGACAGTTAGTAGAACACAGGGTTTGAGGTTACCCTCTCCTTTAAAAAAAAAAAAAAAGCAGACCCTTTCAAAGGTTAACAGTTGCTTGATTAATATTTGGTGTGAAGTTCTGTATTGAAAATCAGCTATATGTAATGGGCTGGTATTTAAAATAAGGGACTAAAACGCTGAGGATTTCTGTTTTGCTCTTCAAATATTGACAGCCATTGATGTCCTTTGAGGAAAAGGTTCTACTGGGATTAGCAGGACCCCAAGGAGATCAAATGAGGAAACTATGGAAGTTTGTGTTGCAAAAGAAAAGAAAGTTATGTTAATAATTTGGGCTTGGGGGCAAGCCTGTGTGTGTGTGTGTGTGTGTGTGTGTGTGTGTGTGTGTGTATCTTTTCCTGTTCTGTCTTACTTTTGTATATTAAGAAAGTGTTTTTTAAAAGGCAATTTGCCCAACATATTACTAATAGAACAAAGTGGTACAAATGTTTAACTCAGAGTTTTCAAATATTCAGTAGTCCAGAGGACTTAAAAGTCAAGGATTTTTTTAAAAGTCAAGGATTTGACTGAGTGATCAGTGAAACCGAAGTAGAAAAAAGTAAATTATATCCAGCTTGAAACAAATTACATAGAATAAATTTGGGGGATTAAACCAGAATTTTAGAATTAAAAATTGCATTGGGCTCAAGTATAAGCTACTCTGATTTGATTTTAAATTGAGTAAATACTAATGACTGACTGTACCCTTCATCAAATCAGTCCTTCTCTGGGTGGTTTTCCTGATACATAAAACGAGAGGTTGGATAGATAAATTTCATTCAATTAGATCCCATCCTAGGCACAAGGCATTCTAAAGGAGAGTTTTGTATGTTTCAGAAATGCAGGCACAAGGTAGGCTTATCTGTGGTAGAGAGTCACCAGTTATTCATCCAGTGAGGAGTTTATCTGACAGCAGCTTGCTAACTTGCATTCTTGTGTGTATTGAAAAAGACCATTTCTAAGAAAAAGAAAGGTATTTTACTTACATCCAATATAAAGATGCCATCCATCCACTAATTTTGAAATTTTACAGCAGAAAGGTCTCATGTCTCTCGCAATAGTAAATTAGACTCAAACACCTAAAGGTTCTACTTCCAAAATGATTATTCTTAAGGAAGAAACACAAACAGCAGTGACCATTTTTCACAGACGTGCTCAGCCATCAGGAAAGCTTAATAAATCCCTATTTAGTATGCATTTATGCAGTGATTACATGAACTTTGACCTCTGGAGAGCTGTAGCAATTAGCTTCAGTGTCCAGCATCTTCTATCCACCATTTCCCACTGCCTTTCTTGGGTCCTCTTTTTTTCATCTCAGTAGTTTAAAGGTGTAAAATTTTAAAGTTGACTTTCCACCTGAATATTCACAAGTCAAATCACCCTCTGATCCCTACCACTGTTGTCAGAAGACTCACCTCAGGTGGATATTGGGGCTTGAATTGTCAATATTACTTAAATGCAAATAGATTTCAATTCAGTCTTGTGCTGTACTTTCCTAAAGATAAACTTTAATGGCCCAAAGAGTTTCATTTCATAGCTCACAGCATCCGATATAAATTGGATCTCTTCCCTCAGACTAATCTGACATTTTAAAAATAGTCAATGTAATTTAAGTCAAATGAAGCCTAGTGGATAGAGGGAGCAGAGGAAGGGCAGCTGGAAGCTTCCAAAAGGAAGGAAGAAAAGAAAGAAAAGAAGAGAACCAGGCGAGAAGAGGAAAGTGTATTAAGTTTCTAGTAAACATTGTTTTGCAAAAGAATAATAGGAAAGTTGCCCCTTTCCCAGAGAGGGATGGGACTATAATTGTTGCCTTTAGCTAGAGCACAGATAAACCGCTGGGACTCTTTCTAAAGTGACCCATCACTGCATTCATCTCTTCTTGAACTTTCGGTGAACCTGAGATTAAACAGGGGTGAGCAGCTAAGCAGTTTGTTGTTAGCAGCCTTTTCAACAACCCTTTCAGACTGAGTAAATATTGATCGGTTTGAATCTGATTGCCCCAGAGGAAAACACCACCACATCTGAATAGCCTCCAAAAGTAAACTTTCAAAGGTGAAGCCCAGAGCAGACTTCAGAGTCACAGCAAGATCTCAACTCAGCTAGTTTGGGGATACCCTAAATTTTAGGACTATTTTGGTTGACTATAGAGAAAGTGAATTTTTAATTCTATATTGCAATTATCTAGGTCTGTAATTCAGACTCTTGTTTTATTCTTAAACTTATCAATAAAATATTTTGGTTTCTCTTTTTATGTTGTTTCAGTTACAGTTGCTTTCAATGAGGAGCTAACTGTGCTCCCCAGAGACCAAAACAGAAGAAGCAAGACCTTGAAATAGGATGTGTTAAATGCTTTTGATTTAATCGATTGGGACAGCTAAAAAGATACAAATGTTTTCCTTGTTGAAAGGTATATTAATGTTTCCTAAATGCATTGCTTGTTAACTGATTTATTCCATGACATAAAGAAGGCTAGAGTTTAGACATAATTTATCGTTCTGCTCTTGCGTTCAGCTACATTAAAATCAGCACCTAGAAGACTGGAATCTCTAGGATTCCAGCGGGTTGGCCCTGCTTTTAGATATTGAAATCAAGACTGTGGCATGCAAATGACACTTTAACACATTAAAGTATTTGGAAACCAACCATCTGTTTTGCTGTGTGGCCTTACACTAATAAACAAAAGATACAGTACAAGGCCAGGCGGGGAAATGAAAGAAAGGTTTGGCTGCCTTTGAAGTTCTCCATCCTCTTCAGTCTTTTAGAGGCCACCTCAGAACCCAGCTTATGGTGAGGGGAGGGCACCCATGCCCTTGATATGGCCGCCGCACCCGCGCCTACAGAGGCTGGGCTTGGCAGTGCAAGAAATCTCATGGGTACTCTAGAAAACCTGCAAATTCCAAGTTTTTGTAGCATTTTCTTCCCAGCCCATTCTTTTAAAACACCCTTTGGGCAGGAAGGAAGTCATATGTCTGTATTTGTTTGGGATGCTATAAAATTTCTGCTGTGCCCTTTGGGCTCAAATCCTCCAGATATGTGTGAAAGTGAAGGGAAAGTGCCAAAAGGTCTGGGAGGAGAAGCACTTTGAATCTTATCATGTGCTGGTCTACTTACCCTGTTTCAGATCTGAGGCATGCTTTGGTCAGAAATAACTTGGATATGGAAAGGCCAAGCTAGCTTCCACAGTTCATCTGAAGAACTTATTAAGCCCAGCGAAGAAAATGACAGTTTTTTTCTGGGCTATGTGGCAAGAAATTAGAGCTGTGAACCTTGTGCAACCCTGATGGCTCTGAAATCAAAGCTAAGTCTGAAGGAATGAGATGTGTAACCCAGAGACGGGGGTAAGGAGGAGCAGGAAAGGATGGATGTTGACAGGAAGAATGGGGAAGGGATGCAAGGATTTACTCAAAACAGATCGCACTCAATTTAAAGGGTAGAATATATTGGAACATTGCCTGACAATCCAAAAAGAAGGAAGAGGGGTGAGTGGGGCCTCATCCTTACAAGAGCTTTATACAGGACCTAATTAAATGTGAATCTCTTAGCTCTTGGTTCACTGATGTGAGGAAAGACTGACTGAAGACAGTTTCATTTTGAAGGGGGCTCTGTTTATATACATGTCAACATTCAGTTGGAGGTGAAAAGGTTAGTACTTAACCCAGGAAGTATCCATGTTTGTTTCACAAATAGATCTGCTTCATAAATTTCTTCACTATTCTTTTTTCTCATGATAAACTTTATTATAATAAAGGAGCTGTTGTCATGTTAAAGAGAATCAATATATTAAATAGACATTGGTTATGTGAAATTCCACTCAGGCTAAGTTCCAGCTACATGATAATGGAAAGCACTTCCTTTTATTCAAGAAAAGGCCCACTTCATTGAAAACACACACCATCCTTCTCTCCTCTACATGAAATGAGCCAACTGTCTATGGTATGAAGCAGCAAACTGAAACCTAGCCAAATACACAGATGCTTAAGCATACCTGAAAGCTGAATATATTTATTACAGACACTGTAAGACCCGTAAACTTTGCTCTGGATCACATTACTTCAGGATCTCAGAACTGTTCATGATTGTACAGGAAATGAGGGATATGATAGGCTCACAAAGAATAAACTGATAGAACTCAGTGTGGTACTTCAGGGACATCAAAACATTGTGCGACATGCAAAAGACTATTCACGAATCACACAAAATATACATTCATTGTGCCATCCATCACATTAACAATTGAGCTGAAAATACACCATATCCAGCTAAGATTACTTTGGAAAGAAATTGATTGGAATAATACCTTTAGAGTCTAAATAAATCAGCACAGAGTTTAAATGGAGGTTAGCCAGGGAAACAGGAAAAGGGTAGGGTTGGGTAGAGATTTAGCACAGGAAGCCAAGTTTTTTAATGTTGTGCTCTATAGGCTTTCTTAACTCACTAAAAGAAGAAATGGAGGCTATCATCTGAGCATCTGATTGGGTTTAAATGAATTTATTTTTTCCACTTATAATTACACATAAAATTGTACCACTTTTGAGTTTGCCCACCCTGTCTGACTTAGTGACCTAGTCTAAACATCTCTAGAAAATTTGTATAAAGATAAATCTCTTAGGACAAAGTATTTACAGTCAGCAAATTCACACAGGAGAAACTGAATTAAATTAAGGATGAATTAATTGTGTAAACACAGTCATAGTGCATCTCCTCTTCATGAGCTCCTGGGCTCTCCTCCTTTCTCTATATTCTACTTTGAAGGACCAGGTAAAGGAGAGCTGTAAATATACAGTTAGATAAAAGGTGAGATGCCTCCCTCTGACATGTTTCTGCTGGCAAAGGGAACTGCTTTCCAAAGCACATCTGAAAGAAACAGTAAGTCCTGTGAAAACTTCCTAAAATCAGAAAAGGATGTTAGGGGTCATCAGAAATTGATGCTGGCACCCAATCTGGATTAAAGAGTTAACCCCCTACTGAGTCTTTGGCATAGAATTATCTGGAAACACATTACCCTGGCCAGGAGCTCCCCAGATAGGATCAGAAAGGAAGAGAGACTGTAAATGGAAAGAAAGATAAGCTAAGAATGTGCTTTGGGTGAGGAATCCCAACCCAAGGAGGGGCCTGGGCTGCAGAGTCTGGGGCTGGGGCAGCCTCAATGGGAGGTAGTCAGAGTGTCTGAGGTAGAAGACCCCGGAGAAGGAACGCAGGGTGAGGAGCTAGATTTCTCTGAGGATTCCTCGGCCTTTTCGTCGCTTCCGGGTGGTGTAGCGGGTGAGATGGGCAAGAGGCCCTCTTTCTCACGTTTCTTCTGCTTCATTCTGCGATTCTGGAACCAGATCTTCACCTGGGTCTCATTGAGCTGCAAGGACGCAGCAATCTCCACCCTGCGGGCACGCGTCAGGTACTTGTTGAAGTGGAACTCCTTCTCCAGCTCCGTGAGCTGCTTGGTGGTGAAGTTGGTGCGCACAGCGTTAGGCTGACCCACATAACCATACTCTCCAACTTTCCCTGAGATAAAGTGGGAAGGGAAGAGAGGAAAAAACAAAAATCCTTAAATCAATAGGATGTCCCCTACACACCTCAGAGTATTCAGGTAAAGGGTAGATTATGAACTTAACACAAATGGGCCAGGCAGGCTGAGTGATGAGGTGAAAAATGTTAACCTCTAGCCAGCCATTATCGTGGTCCAACTAGTGATTACTAGAGCCTGAAGATATTAACAGAACACCATCACCACCAATGCTACACACACACACACACACACACACACACACACACTTCATACATCCAAAACATTTAAACCTCACATCCTTTGAAAACATACCAGTGCTAGAGACTTCTTTGCTCCCAACATACCTGGCACACTCCCTGCAACCTGCAAGTCTAGCCAAAAGCAAGAACCTTTCTTTAAACAAACAAACAAACAACGATAGCTTTGGAAACTAAGCAAACCAGCTCTTATAGAATCATCAGGATGTGTCCTCTGGCTGGCAGGACTGACCTGTTTTGGGAGGGTTTCTTTTGACTTTCATCCAGTCAAAGGTCTGAGCTGGAGATGTCTCCGATGCAGGGGAGCGACAGGCTTCTTGGTGGCTGGCGTGGAGAGGGGACAAGGAGTTATTATACGTAGCCAGGGCCAGGTTCTGGTGCTCTTGTCCATATGAGTGGTGAATGTATTGAGGCGAGCCCACCGAGCCCCCGGCATAACCCTGGTGGTGGTGGTGATGCTGGACCATGGGAGATGAGAGATTTCCAGAGTAAACTGTGGGAGCGCACGGAGGGTACCCGCCACTTACATCTGCTTCCTGATTTAACCCGTAGGGGCTGTAAGGCGGACCAAAGTTCTGTGCGCCATAGCTTGCACCACAATTCGAGTGGGAGTAGGACACCCCCAGATTCCCAGAAGTTTGGTAAGTGGCAGGCTGGGAGTGGTGATGGTGGTGATGATGGTGGTGGGGTGAGTTGATCTGCACCCCCCTGCCCACCAAGAAGCGGTCATCACTGCTGCAGCTGTTGGCACTGACTGCGCACGACTGGAAAGTTGTAATCCCATGATCGGAGGGGTAGGCTCGCCCTGAGCAAGTCCCCGAGTCGCCACCGCTAAGGATGGGGTATTCCAGGAAGGAGCTCATTCTTGCATTGTCCATCTGTCACTGAGTGACCGTGTCCTGCGAAGCCCTGAGTAACCGTGCCAACTTTCTCACTTCCTCCATGGGGCCGGAGAAGAAAAATGATATGAATGTACAGTGCGCAAGAGGGGGGGCCGGTGGGCGGAGGCCGCAAGGGATGGGCACGTGACTTTGTCAGCCAATAGCTGAGGCTCCTGCGAAAGTTTGCCGGCTCCAGCGGTGATGGATCACCGTTTCAGTGGCATTTAAATCCCTGGCGCTCCTCCGCCTAGGTGACGCGCAGTCGCCCCCCCAGGCAGCCCAGGCAGCGGCAGCAGCTGCGGCGCCTGCCACGGCAGATTCGGAGCGCTGGGGCGAAGGGGCGCCAAGGCTGCTTTCTGCGCGCGCCCGACACCGTACGCCACCCCCCGGAGGCAGAGGCTGGAAGGCATCTCCCCAGTCCCTGTCCCTCACCCCGCCGGAAAGATGAACAAGCGAGAGGTGAGACGGGTAGAGGGCTCTCGACTCTCCTGGGGCGGGCATCGGCGACCGCAAGTACCCGGTTGAGCCCAGGGCGCGCCAGGCGGAAAGGGTGGCGATCGGGCCCCAGCGCGCCCCAGGCTCCCGGGGCGCGTCCACCGCACAGCTGCTGCTGTGAGGCCGTAGGGCTGGGAGGAGCTCGGAGAATGGTGGCGGAGTGAGAGGCTCTCCAAGCTCGGAATGGAGAGGGCAGGGCGCAGAGAAGGTCTAAGGGGTACGCCGGTAGGTGTGGAGGGAGAGAGGGCAAGAAAAGAAACTTCCCTGCTACCCGGAGGGTCTCCGCAAGCCCTGCTCGCCATTAGCATAGCAATGAGGAGCTTCTGTAATCCGACCCCGGGGCCGGTGAGCGCTTGTTTTGGAAGTGGCTGGCCGAGGCCTAGCCTGGCCCGGCTCTTCTTGGCCCTCCTCCTTGCTTCACCCTCCGCCCCTTTCCCCTCCCCATTCAGCTCTGCTCCTTCGGGATCCGGAGCTACTGGCCGCTAGAGTTTGAGGGGTAGGAGGCGGGGAGAGAGATGACGACAGCAGACGTGGGCAGCGTGGGGGCCGGGCCGAGCGCTGCAGGCCGTCTGCCGGCTCTTCAGGCCCGGAACAGGCCTCACCGTGTCTGTCCACGGCTCCTACAAAGTGCGCTGAACACCCCCCCCCCCACACACACACATTTTTCTCGTTCTAGAAGGGGATGTTAGGAGTGGGAGAGCCCCCTTTTTCCAGTGACCCCACCCTCTCCACTACTGTACGTCTGGCGTGGGGGTGGGGACTGGCAGGTGGGAGGGGCGGTGGACAGATGGCTGAGGGTGAATGAGAGACACTTTCCTCTTCCCCAACAATATCTCTCACCATTTCCAACGGACTGTGTAGTTGCTAGTGTAACCCCTCAAGTCTTCCCCTAGAGAGACACATGCAGTTCTGAGTGTCATGCCAGGCCAGGGGTCCTGTCTCCATCACCTTCATCCTACAATGATGCGGCTGCGCTGTTTACTATTAGGTTTTTTATCATTCCCTGGGCTTGTGGAGAGAAAATGCTAGTGTGAGAACTGACAAATTAGTAAGTAGGAGAAATTCAAAAATTATCTAAGACGCTTGTAGCCTGTGCTGCATAGATTTTACTTAGACCATGTTTGCAACATCAGATCAGACAGATGAAATTGATAGTGAGGGTTGTGTGTGGGTTTGGTGCTCCAACTTTCCCCATTTCCCCTCCCTTATTAGAAAAAAAGCAGGCATATTTCAAATATGTTGATCATCCTTTCAGGCTTCTGTTTCGGTTCTCCAATATAGAAGTTACTCCAAAACCTGTTCACCCAAGAGGGAGAGCATATGCAACACACCTTTGACTGTAGACTTCCTCCATAGCAATAAAAGTTTCCCCCTAAACATTTGGAATATTTCACAGTGACCTTTGACCTACCCCCAAGCATGGTTAATAGGGTGCAAGGGCTGCAAAGCCCCCTCCACACACACACACACATACACATACGCGCCTGTTTCAGCTTCTGGGGATCTTCATGCTGGAGAAGGGGAAAGGCAAGGTGGCCCTCCTGGAGGCGGCTTCTTTGAGAAAGCCGGCCCTTCAGCGATGGGGAAAGGAGGGGTTCCTGTGGGACAGGCGCAAGATGTGAGTGGATCGGTGGTGACTTGTGCAGGGGATCTGCTCTCCAAACTGAAGCTAGTCATCTTCTCTGACCTTATTCCTGCACCTCTGTGGGCCTCCTCGGCCACATTTGCACTCCCCTCCCCCAGGCCTCAGGACGCCTGCCGCGAAGCCCCCCCCCCACCTACCCCTCCACCAAGGCTCAGTGGCTCTCTCATCCCTGTGTTCACGGCCTCTGCACTCTTCTCCCACCACTTCTCTCTCTCTTGATGTCTTTTCAAAAAACCTGGAGGCCGTGGATATTTTCCTTGGGATTTCAAACTCGCACTTAGGCCGGCAGACGCTCAGGCCAACCACCCACCCGCCTCCGTGCGCGGCTTCCCGCCTCGGCGGCCGCCCAGGACACCTCTCTCCCGGAGCGGCTCACCCAGGCAGCTTCCCCTGGCCTCCAGCCCGCAGGTTCCAGTAGCTCGGGTCCTCCCCAGCCCCCACTCCCGAGGAATCCTGGGGGGCATTCCGCCGCGCTGGGGACTCTTGTGGTCCTCTGGGCGAGTAGGGCAGCGACCCAAGACCGAGCTCCAGTCTCTAATCGCCCCAGGAGAGAAAGGCAAGCTTGGTCGCGATTAAAATGACTATCTGCTAGCCTCTTACTCGGCTCAAAGCGCCTCTTACTGGGCTGTTCTACTAGAAAGAGAACGAGCGAGGAGGAGACAAAACGCCGTGGCTCGGAGCTGTTACGGCATCCGCGGCTGAGCCAAGCTGTTGTTTTAAAGAGCAATAAAAATGAATTATGACTAAACGCCTTCTAACTTAATGCTTTCGGACGGGGATCCCCGGCAAATACGTAAGAGGATTTTTATTTGTGCATGTGTTCCTGCAATTGATCTCTTTGATGACATTCTCATTCATAGAAAGCGTTTGATTTATGAGCTTAGAACGAATCGCATCCAGTAGCGGTGCAGCCCTGGCCGCAGCCGGGACGCCCTGCTCGGCGCACTGCCTGGGCCGGAAACCGGCCGCAGTCGCCGCGCACTGCCGCTGCGGCCGGGATTTAGCGGGTGAAGTAGGAGGTGAGAGAGGTAGGGAACAAACCTGGGAAGGATGATCGCGATTGCATTTATAACTTTCAAGCCTTGGCTGTTAAGAGCTGGGTTCTTAACCCGCCCCACACACATGTTGCTGCATTTTCTCACGGTAAGTAGTAGCCCTCAGAAAGGGAAAAATTAAACAGGGGGAAACAGAAGGGGGAAAAAACAGAACAGCTCAGTAACGCACCCTAGATCACATTTTATTGGTATTTCATTTAAAGTGCTTTTTTCTCTTTCGCTGTCTAGGAAACTGGACTAATATATAATATAATCTAGGGTGTAGAAACACTCCATTTTAAATCTCAACTTGCTAACCTGACTTCAAAGCTTTAATGATCCATTATTAGCAATGTAAACAGATTTAAGAATGAAATATTGATTTTTCTGACCCTGGAAAAAAAGGAATCCTAGAATGACTGAACAGACGATTGGAAAGAACCCTTCTGACATGCATTTTGCAGCAAGTAACCATTGTTCTGTTTTATTTTGTTTTTCTCTCTCTTTTAGGTCTGTTTTGCCTGAACCCATCAACAGCTGGGAGATTAATCAACCACACGGAAAATGTGCTTGGGATGGGGGTGGGGGAGGGGTCGAATGTAGATGTTTCAGACAAACGTGTATAAATAAATGAATTGTTGGTAACTTAGTTATTGACCTGGAGACTGATAGCTTGTTCAAGAAACTCCACTTTACTCATCCCTAGAGCTGGGGGTTTCTGTAGGCACTTTATTTCTCCACTTTCAAAAAGCTTGGGCTTGGCCCAACTCTTAGGCTGCCCAATCCTGTTTCTATTTCTAATTTAAATCTATGGCTTGAGCCTCTACATGAAAAAAAATTCATTTCCTTCAAAAATAAAAACAAAACCCAAAAGACAAAAACCACATGTCAAAAGCCCTAGCCATTTTCTGGCTTTCTTCTTTGTTGCTATTGAAGACTTTAAATGTGCCACCTTAACAAATATATTAAAATTGAAAAAGAAGATAAATTGTGACCAGAATTTTATTTACTGAATTAGACTAAAAAAAGAAAAAGAAACCATTAAAAGCCTTAAGAAAGAGGGGGAGAAAAAATAAGAAAGCTACTTATAGCAAAGGAGAATTTATTCTACCAAAAATACGCATGACAATGCATCCTAATGTAATACAAAAATAAAAAGAAAGTGATGTTACAATTTATGATCACTTTCTTACAGGCCTTGTATATTGCTTTCAGGAAAATCACATAGACCGTTGTTGGATTTAAAACAACAAAAAATTCCAACACAATCTGTGAGATGGCTCTGAAACTGAGTCAGGGGAATCACTGAACAGAAAATCCTCACCATTTAAAGGAAGAGGGAAGGAAAATAAAATAAAGACCAACTCCCGGAATAAAAGAAGGCAAAACCACCTGGTCAAAGGGGTTTTTGTTTTGTGATGCTTTGTTTTGCTTTAATGTTTTTAGTAATTCAGATGCTGCAAGTCGATTGTGGTGAGTGTGTCTGTAAAAAAGTCAAAGCTGTCAGCTGAAATATCTACAGGACTGTCGAGGGAACCTGGCAAACTGGGTGAGACTGCATCTGAAAGCTGCAGGCAGGAATCTGTGGAGAAAACGTTAAAGTCCTGCAAAGAAGGGACCTCAAGGGCCTCGGGACTGTCATTGTTTAGGCCAGCTCCACAGTTCTGGCCCATTGTTGACAAGCAGTTAGGAACAGTGGGTGACTGGTGCTGAAAATGTTTCAGATTTTTCTCATTGCTGGTTAAAGGCGAAACTGGGAAACTTTGGGAGTCGCCATTGTGTCCATTGGGAGCCTGCTGCTGGGAGAGGGCATTTTGCTGAAAAGTGTAACCTTCCCTCTCCAGAAGGGCCCCAGAGACGCTGAGGGCTTGCTCAAAGAGCGACTTCTCTTCCTCGTCCTCCTCCACTTTCTCCGAGTCCTCAAGGCTTTTAAATTTCCCTTCGCTGTTTTGGTTCTCCTTGCACTGGGTCTGCCTCTTGTGCTTCATCCTCCGGTTCTGAAACCACACTTTCACTTGTCTCTCAGTTAAATCCAGCAACGCTGCAATCTCCACCCTTCGGGGTCTGCAAAGGTACTTGTTGAAATGAAATTCTTTTTCCAGCTCTAAAAGCTGTGTGTTAGTGTAAGCAGTTCTCAGGCGCCGCGATCCCCCAGCGCTGCCATCGGCGATTTCCAGGGATTCTGCGGAAAGGGAAACCAACAAGAGACACACGCACAGTTGGAGGTGGAGGGGTCCGAGCAGGGTTACTCCACTGGAGAATAAATATAGCAGAAAAGATCAACGGCAACAAAATGGCCGCCCCTGGATGCACTAGAGCTATTGTGCTGCCTTTCCTGGGAGCCCAGCCTGGGGAAACCCCATCTCCTCCACCTCTCTCAAATTCCCCAACCTCTTCATCCGGGAGCAAACTTTATATTAGCCGCAACACAATTTATAATTAATGCATCAGCTGCTTAGCTGAGCAAGAGCGATCTATCACTCTTCATTACTGTCAAAAAGCCAAACTCTAGGACAACTAGACAAGAGGAGGTCAGTTCCAACTCAAATAAATCATCCCACATTACACAACTTAGGGAAAGTTCCCCCTCCCTTCCTAAAAATATATATGTCTCCTCGTGGAAGGCAGGCTCCCTGTCCTCTCCGGCGAACCTGCTCCTGAGCCCGGGGGCAGGGACGGGCGCCCGGCTCTCTCCTCCGCCCGCGCCTCCAGCCGGGCCCCCTCCCCCATACCCGCTCCCCGAGCCCGGGGGGCCGCAGGGTCCGGGCCTGGGCCGAGCCTTCGGACTGACCTTTGTGGCCGAGGCAGGCAGGGCCGGTGGCGGCGGCGGCGGCGGCGGCGGCGGCGGGCGGCAGCGCGGTTTTCTTGGCCGCCTTCTTCTCCTTCATCCAGGGGTACTCGGGCGGCTGCAGGGCGCCGGCGGGCACCGGGCTGCCGCGACTGCCCGCGGGACTCGTCTTGGGGCGGCCGCCCGCGCCGTGGCGAGGGTGACTGCCCGGGTTCAGGCTGGGAATGGTCTGCTCAAAAGGAGGAGGAATCAGTGTCGAGTGTGAAAGCGTCGAGGTCTTGATTGATGAACTTTGAAATGTATCAGCGACAGGGGGAAAAGATGTCAGGCACTCAGCGAGCGACGGCTGGCTATTGATAAAACCAATCTCTCGCTCAAATTCGTAATTCATGGCCTTCTCCTTGGAGCCCCCTTGGAGAAAAAGTTCCCTCTTTTGGAGGGGCTTTGGGGGGGCAAGGCCCAGGAAAAAGGCGAGTGCGGAGGGAAAAAAAATCTATCATAGAAGATCGCTGCTGGGGTGTTTTTTTTCTAATTCACTGATTACAGCCGTATGGGGACCGCGCTACTATTAAACTATTGAATTCATGGAGACAAGGTTGAAATTGGACCGAATTGGCTGTCACATGATTGCTTCTGCCCAATGACAATTTGGGCTTTAATCAAAAGAAGCCACTGTCTGTTTGATTGATCCAAAAAAGTCGGGAAGGAACGCCTCATTGGGGGCCAGCAAGGCTTTATTTACACTTTTTTCATGGCAAAAATACATAAATGTGGCTGTGGGAGGGAGTGCCCAGGAGTGCCCGGGGCCAGGGCGCCTGCCGGCCTCCCGATCAGCGAGGACCTAGTGTGTGCGCCCGGGAGCGTGCGAGTGTGAGCCCGCTGCCGGTCCCGCGCGGCGGCCCTCCGCCTCCCCCGCACACTCCGCGCATTGTTTGGGACTGTCGGGAAGACGCCTCGCACCTCACAAATCATTTAAGCACCTCACTCTGACGCCTGCAGTCATTAACAAAGTAATCCATTAATCTTCAAAGTTTTGACACCCGAGGGCCCCCACATCCCAGCCACATAAGTTCTGCTACGGCAGAGGAAGGAACAGAAGGAGATAGGAGATGAGAGAGGAAGAAAGAGAAAGGGAGGGAGGGAAGGAGAAAGAACAGAGAAGAAATATTTGGGAGAACTCCCCTTTATCTCCCTTTCCTCCTCTAATTTTCTTAAAACCAGTAACTCATCTCAGAACTGATATCTCGCTGAGACTGTCTCTGTCTCTCTCCCTCTCCTTTCCTCCTCCTCAGTCTGTTTTCCTTCCTCTCCCATTTTCTTTCCCTCTTTTTCCTCCTCTCCCCTTCCCCCTCCCACTCTCTTCTGTCCGCCTCTCCTTCCCCCCGCAGCTCCTCGCCCCCCTCTTAGTGTCCAGCCTGGAATCCTCGGCCCTGGCCCATTGTTAGCCGGCTTTTCCACGGCAGCTTTGCATCTGGCTCCGGCGGGAAGCGGAAAACGGGAAAGGGGAGGCGGCTCTCGAAGCTTCCCGACCTCCCTGCGCCATCAACTTCTCAGGAGTGGCTGGAGAAAGATAGATGCATGTGCCAAGGGAGACAGCAACACCAGGTCCATGTGTCCAAATCCCCGTAGCCAGGGCGGCGGCCAGCCAAAGAAATGCCGCCCGGAGCAGGCGCGTGCGGCTCCTGGCATTCTGGGTTTCATACCCATAGGGCTCGGGTGTGGTGAGTATTTCCGATTTCCAGGAAGTCTGTTGCAAGTTATCGGCAGGAAGGAAGAAGACGTTTGTGCCCCTCTCCTTTCCCCTACCCCTTTCCTTGTCCTCGTCGCTCTGCTTGGGGGCTGGTTGGCTCAGATGCAGCGAGGGCTCCTTAGCAGCCTGAATTGCTTCCCACACCTTTCTACTCCTTGGGCACCAGACAGGTTTGCACCCGGGTTCTGTGGTGGGAAAGAGCATTGCCGGGAGAGGGCAACCCGAGGAGGATTATAAAGGTTCTTCCTTCTTCGTTCTCTTTTTTCCCAGTTCCAAGACTTGAGATTGAGTGTATCTTGGACAGTGCTGGAGGGTTCAAAAGATAACACTTTTAGATATCAAAAAAATTACCCTAAAGCCATCAAGCCAGAAAGAAGGGGGAGAGAGGGAGAGAGAGACAGACAGAGAGCTCTGAAGGCACCTCTTTCTGCCCCCCCAACCCTGAGGATGGTGATTCGCTTTTGCTTCCTTTGAAATGGACCAAAGTGATCAGACTCCTTCTGGCCGGCAGGCATCAGTGGCAGGAAAATAAATCATTCTGATGGCCAAGGAGAGAGAGGTTGGTGGGGGAGAAAAATACGCAGAAACAAGAAAGGCTGACCAAGAAGCAAGAGCAGGACTCCATCTCTGAGGCCTGCATCAAAGAGGATTTGAGTTGAAAATGAGATATAAAGTGGCCTCCAACTTTGACCAGCCCAGAGTTTTGCCTTGCAGATAGAAATGGTATTTTGGAAAATGTGAAGTTTTTCAGTTTTCTTGCTTTTATTCCAAACAAAGCTCTGAAGGAAGTCTGGGTGCGATCAATCTTGCTCACCAAAAGCCTTGACAGCTTCTGGCCCTTAAGAACACATTTCAGCTTCGAGCTCTTTCCAAGATCAAATGTGTCCGAGCAAAGAGAAGAGCAGGAAACGCAAGTAAACAAGGAAAACCAGTTTTTAAAAGACATTTTTTGGCAGTGGAAAGGCATATAGGGCTGCTCTTAGGAAAGGTGCTTTGCAGATTCTGGGGTAGTGGGCTCTGGGTATTAGCTTTTACCCAAAAATCCTGAGAGGTGAAGGGGAGGGGAGTTGCAGAGCGGGAGCGGCGCTGCCTCCAGATTACTGGCTTTGTCAGGAGCTGCGTGGGTGAGAGCTTTCTGCCTGCCTCAGCTGCCTTAATTCAAATACCATCTGGAAGAAAACCTTTTTCTGAGACTGCTCAACATCGAAATCTTCCCCAGATCTATTACTTTAACTCAGGAGATATTTTAATAAGGATTTCTTTTTAATATCTGGTAAGCTGAGGGTGAAATCAGTATTTTTTCTTTGAAAGCCAAAATGAATGTCTTGACTGGCAAGATATGGAAGATCATATTAGAATCTCATTTTTACAATCTCTGCCCTGAGGAAAGGAGGAAGGTTCTAAACCATTCTTTCCTCAGCTAAAGAGTATATTTTAGAAATCATTTCAAATACTGGTATCCCTGAAAGAGTTTCATCTTTGGGTGGAAATCCATTCTCTCTCTCTCTCTCTCTCTCTCTCTCTCTCTCTCTCTCTCTCCTACTCCCTCTTCCTCTTCTCTTTTCCTTTTCCTTGCCCTCACTCCCTACCGATAGTGCACCTTATTTTCCCAGGTTATTTTATACATGTCTCTCAAATGCTTGCTTAAAAAGAAGATTTTTGTATCTGCCCAGTATGAATGACCAAAAGGCAGAAGGTCCAGTTCTCACAAAGACTGGTTTTCCGACCTCTGGTGGGCACCTTATTTTGGAGAGAGGTTGAGGTGGGAAAAGCAAATCCATTTCCCCCACAGGCCAAACTCTTTGAAGAAAAAAACATATATCATTGGGAACTGCAGAACAAATGTGGAGAAAGCACCTCTGGGTGTGAGAGAAACACCCAGCTCTCTGCAGCTGCTTGCTTTTGTATCCTCCTTAGATCCTTTTCCTTTTTCTTAAAACCTGAAGGTTCCCTAAAAGCACCTCATTGAGATGCAGCAGGTATCCAGAAATAGCTTCTGTGCCCACTTCTAAGGATTCTCTGAGATAGTTTGGGGGTTGGGGAGAGTAGAGGCCATGATGATGAATATTTTGGATTGCAAACAAAATGGCGACATTTTCATTCCTGCTCTGAAAGATACAATCCAGGAGGGATGGGGGCTTAATTTCTTACATCAGACTCTCCTGATGCCCCAAATGCAGGCAGTGCTTCACTTCCAACTCTGAGCGGGGTGATGATGGGGAAGCAGCTCTGAGGTTCGCATTTTCTGACTTTGGTCCCTTCTCCAATTAATTCTTTAATTTGAAGATGGAAATATTTCCCATTGTGACTGCCTTTTCAGTAAGCAATCCTATCTTAAATCCAGGAGTGGAAATGTAATATTTCGCTCCTGTAGTATCAAGTGAAAGAAGTACTTATACAATTGCATTTTTATCAGAAAGATACCAATCTCCTTTCTCCCCCTCCCCCTGGGGCCATAAAAAGAAAGCCGTGAGGGAAGGAGAGTTAATAAACCCAGAGAGTGGCAAATGCTATATTCCAGGAAGAAACTGATGCTGGGATATAGGCAGTCCAAAAAGGGCTCAGGGATACTCCTGAGCTCAGTTTTCCTTTTGCTGGAAACCCAGGAAAGTTCAGTTCCTTTGACTCCATGTGTTGATTTTAAGAGCGATTGTATCATCCTGGCGTGACAATAGACTGCGAAACATCTTCGAAGGAGCCTGGGAATTCGACTGATCATGGAAACTGTTCAGCATCCCTAGTGAGAGCTCAGGCGTACGCTGGTCCTGGTCGGCTGAGACCCAGAGGAAAGCTTGCAGGAGGAGACCGACCAGCATTCTCTCTCCCCCGGGCTGCAGGGCACCTGTGCGCCCCCCGCCGCGCCTAGAGCCTTGCTGCCTTTGTTTCTGCGGAACACTGCACTCTGCAGCCCGGGCGCCCTCCGCCTGCCTCCGCAGCAGCTGGGAACCAGGCTGCCAGCGGGCCGGCCTGCGGCGTTTCCAGGGCTGCTGCTGTGGAGCCTCAGCCTCTTCCCGAGAATTGGCGGAGCTTCCAGGAGAGCCGCTTGGCCAGGCTCTGCGCCGGAGTCGCAGGGCTGCCTTCCGCGGCCTACTCAGCCAGCGTGCCTCTGCCTGAATTCCAGGAAGGCAACATTTTGAGCCAAAGAACCCTTTTTGAGCATGGATATTAATCAGAATAAAAACTTTATTTTTGCTTTGTTTCTCAGAATATGAGCAGCAAGGAATGTAGAACTTTCAAAACACATCTAGCATTTTTCATGTTTACAGCTTTTTTTTTTTTTTCAGTTTTGCCGGATGTTGCAAACCTCAGTCACTGTTTTTAAACGCTGGATCCTCTCTGGCTTTATTGCATCATTACCGTTTTTATAAAGGAATTATATTTCCCTTTCAAATAAAGAATTTTGTATGTAAGCCAATACACTATTGAACAAAAGGCCCAAGAAACCTCCTGAACAACAAGGGTACAGAATTTCTTTAATATAAATACGAACGGATGGGGATAAATAATATTTAAAACTTAGACTATTCAATGCTTGCAAAAAAATATAAATAAATCTGACTGTTCACCAGCATACACACACGGGAAAGACGTACACTTAGTCACCCTTGTACAAGGAGCCTCTGTTTCAAAGCGCCTTTGATTTTTTTCTCGCTCTTTATAAGAAGTGCAATTTTAAAAACTAAAAATTAAAGAAAAACCAACGTATTGCTTCCTCTCGGGAGCCATAAAGTACGAACAAATTCACATTAAAAACTCGACTAGAAAATTTGTTCATATACCCTGTTTCTGATCAAAGAGTGGAGAAGGTAAAGAGTGCAGGGCCAGCGGCGGGGCGAGGGGCAGAAGAGATAAATATCGCTACTGATACTGACAGCCATTCCAGCAACCAAGATTGCTACGTCACATAAACTATAAAAATTCATTACCAAAGAGAACAAAACAGGGAAGAGGGTAAAGGGACGGGCAGGAAAAACCTAAAACAAGAAAAAGAAAAGGAAAAAGGGCGAGGGAGGGGGACTCTCCTGGCGCGCAGCCCCGAGCCCACCATCACAGGTGGGTGAGCTTGGGCGCTTCCTGAATTCTTCCCTGAGAAGGATGGTGGGCTGTAAGGTCCGTATAAGTGGGATGAGGCTCCCCTGGCCCTGGCCCTGGCCCGTGGTGGTGACCGCTGCCCAGTGACCCCGCGCCCCCGTAGTCCATGGCGGCTGATGCGTGGGGGAGGTGAGTTAGGCCAAACAGTGCCGGCCCAGAGTTGCTCATGGGCTCCACATAGCTGCCCCCCACGAAGACGGGGCTTCCCTGTAAGTGTGGGGTCCCATAGCTGCCGTTGCCCTGCAAGCTGTGAGCGTGCGGGTCATAGTCGGGGGTGCTTCCTGCACCCGCACCCGCCGTCGCATAGCGCTTCTGTGGGGGAGGTGGGGGTGCACAGCTGGGCAGGGGCGCGGGGTAGGAGGTGGGAGGGAGCCCGTAGGCGCCTTGAGGAGGCTTAGAGAAAGGTGGGGGCGACTGGGGCTCATACTGGACACTGTTGACTAGCGAATGCATAGAGTTCAGGTAGCTGCCTGCGCCCGGAGGCACAGGGCTGCGACTCGGGGACTGGCCCCCGGATGACGTCAGCATGCCCTTCCCCTTCTGATCCTTCTTGTATTTCATGCGGCGGTTCTGGAACCAGATCTTGATCTGGCGCTCGGTGAGGTTCAGCAGGTTGGCCATCTCCACCCGGCGCGGGCGGCACAGGTAGCGGTTGAAGTGGAACTCCTTCTCCAGCTCCACCAGCTGCGCGCTGGTGTAGGCCGTGCGCGCGCGCTTGGAAGATGCCTGCCCAGGCGGGCTCTTGTCACCAGCGCAGCTCTCGCCTGCCAGGACAGAGAGGAAGAGCGGCGTCAGGGGCTGCCTGCAGCTCCGCCCCGCTCCTCAGTCTGGCCCCTCCTTTCTCCAGATCCCACGGATCCCTTCAGCTGTCAGGCCCAGAGTCAAATGAGGTGCTGTCCTGTCTCTTAGATGGAAAAACAGTGCAAATAGCTAGTTCTTCATTTACCTAAAGAGCAAATTAAGGCCGGTGTGTTGGCACACACCTATAATCCCAGCACTCAGGAGGCTGAGACAGGAGAATCGCTGTGGTTCAAGACTAGCTTGGGCTACAAAGTGAATTCAAATCCAGCCTGAAGTGCATAGTGAGACCCTGTCTCAAAAAGACCAAAAAAAAAAAAAAAAAAAAAAAAAAGACAAATTATAGGCTTCTCCAAGGGGGAAAGAACAAAAAACTAGAACCCCAGTTTGCCTTCAGTCTCTATTTCCTCTCTGGAGTTACTCACTTTCTCATTTACTGGCTCTCTAAACCCTTTAGACAAGAAGCTTTCTGTGGGCAGGTCTCACATCTTTATTCCCTTCACAGTAACTAAAATCTGAGTTACCTAAGGCACACACTCAAACCTTCTTTTCCTCCCTGTCTCCTCCCCGACTGTCTTGATTAAGCAATAACTTCTATTTGTCAATTTAAAAGTCTGCTTAGAGGAGAACAGCAGATTAGAAACCCCAAACTGGAAGGCCTTCTCTAGTCACTGAAGATACCCATTTCTTTTGGGAAGCCCCAGCCCCCTCAAAGGGGCCCTATTCATTAAAGCACCTCCTGTCATCCAGCAGCACGCCAAACCTTTGCCTGCCATTCTTGTACCCTCCTACCCACCCTCCCCAATTCTGACTCTGGAGGGCCCAGATGCTCAAGCTCAGAGCGAAGAATTGGCAACTGGAAAAGACAAGGGCAAAGGTAACCTAGGAGCTAGGAAAAGACAGTGCAGGGTAGGGGGCTTTCTTTCACTACAGTCCAGTTCCAGGAGGCCCATGTGGTTCCCATTAGGATGACAAGCCATCCTACCCCCCCCCCCCCATCCCTGGCTGACTTCACTGTAGTAAGTCTAAGGAAAGCCTTCCCAGAGGTAAGGCAGTCACTCCATCTGCTGGAGCAAAAATTGGCTCTGATGATAGACAAAGCATGACTCTGATTTGGAGGATGATTAGGCCTGCTTTTCCTCTGTACACGTCAGAACAAGGAGGCTATCACTGTTTCATTAGAATAAAGGAGCTGTGCTTTTTAGAGATAGTGGAGCTCATGATAACTGTGCCTAGAGATCAGAACTTCAGGAGTGAAACAAGAAGACTCCAACTCAACTAGGTTATGCTTGTCCTTGCAGAGGTCCACAGAGACTCATCAGGTCTCTGGAGTTTCTTGGCCCACAAAGGTCTTATTGCCCTAAATTGCAAAGATCCCGAAAACCTTTTGGGAGTTGGGGGGAATGATACATTTCTGGAAAATTTCCAGTGCTCCCAAACTGTGCTGCTGTGGTTAGGTTTTAGGGTCTGCAGCCAAGCCAGAGGACCCTCTTTCAGAAAGTACCCCTTTACCTGAACTGGAGCCGCTGGTTTTCTGTTTTGTATTTTGCCTTGACTCTTTCATCCAAGGGAAGATTTGTTTGGCCACGGTGGGTGAGTTGAGCAGGGGGCTCTTGGCCGTGCTGGCTGGGGTGGGATTGCTGCTAGCATTCTGAGGAGGGGAAACAGAAGAGGCGGGCGGAGGGGCTGCAGGGGTGGGTGCGGGGGGCTGCGGTGGAGGTTGTGGAGGTTGTGGGGCTGGTGGTGCAGCCTGGGGCGGCGGTGGGGGCAGGGGTGGGTCGCCTAGGCCTGGGGGCTGGCTGGGTGGGCCGCTCAAGGTGCGTAGACATGCTTCACTCAGTTCTTGTGCCTTGGGATGGCCCCCCGCGCTGACAGGTGACTGAAGTGAACAGGCTGGTCGGTGGTACTCGCCCTCGCCTCCTAGAGCGGCAGACCCCGCGTAGGGTTGCTGACTGGCATTATAAGCAAACCCGTTGGCTGCCTGGTAGGGGTAGGCACCGTAGATAGCTGAGCTGTCGTAGTAGGTCGCCTTTTGCATCGCGTTGTCTCAGGATCTTGATCGTACACTCTGACAGGGGCTTGACACCCGTGAGGGCGCACATTTGGCACGCCCCCGCGGTCACGTGACGCTCCGCCGCCAATGGCCGCCCCGCGCAGACCTGGGGGGGGGGGGTAGAAGCGCAGCGCGGTGAGGGCTCTGCGCAAATCCATCTTACTCTCAATAGCTAAGTGACATGAAAGCCATAAAAGAAAAAGTGGTCAGCAATATTTAGCAGCACGACTTGGCCCCGGGCGCAGGGAGCCGCGCTATAAAAAGCCGTTGGAATTTACTGGCAGCTACAAATATTTGCTTAACTTGCGTCTGGAGTTGGGGGATTTTCCGGGGAAAGGGAATGAGTGAGGCCTGGAAGCCGAGTCTCTGGAGCCGAGATCCAAAAGGAGAAAGGCCTGGTAAACTAGAAAGAGCAAGGTTGGGGTCTTGCTTTTCCAAAGAAGAAACGTGGTTATCCCTCCGTCTCCGCTTCTTGGCATCATCCCGAGGGTATGAGACTCTCCTCTCTGCAAATCTTGGGGAACTGGCAAGGAGCCTGGGTCACCAGTTTTTTCTCCAATCCCTGCTTTAAGACTAATACTTGCCAAAACAGCACTGAAATGGGATGACTTCCCATTGAGCTCTTTCTTGGTCCTCCCTGTACTCAAAAGAGGTTTGCATAAAAAATATTTTAAGGTAATTACTTTGCTAGATAGTGCTGAATTTCAGAAGCTAAGCTTCTTAGGCAGTAAATTCTACCCCTGTTCAGGGATAGGGCCCACCTCCTCCAAATGGGCTCTTTTTGGCCAAAAAGGGGAAAAAGAAAGCAGTGGAACATAAAATGTGTGTATGTTGAGGGGGCAACAACACCCCCATCCAGCAAGTCACAACTCAAGCCATGGGTAGTTCTTTGCTTTTTTGCTTCCTGTTTCTCAGACACTTCACAGCAAGCCACCCCAAGTCTTTTCCCCAGTTATAGGAGGTTCCCAGAGCCTTCTGACTTGGACTTTCTGAGGTGCTGTTATTCAGGGCAACTATCAAATTCTACCTGTTAAAACATGATGGATTAGATTTAAAAAAAAAAAAAAAACCCACCAGGAACCTGAAAAACCAGCGTTCATCTCCATGACCACGGCTTGAACTCTCCTTCCAACATAACGATAATAGGTTCTGTCTTAGAAACTGCTATGTAATTTGATGTATGGGGGTCATTTGACTCCGGACAAGGCATGGAAGCACAAACCATAAAATTCTGCCAGAGTTCCCTGATCTTTGTGTGCCACTGTTGTTGATATTTGTTATTTGCCTATTTACCTGCTTCAGAAACAGCACCGTAACACTGAAAATCTAAAAAGCAATTGAACACCTTCTCAACCCTCTTTTATTTGAAAAGTTTGCAGGAGTGAAGTCTGTTTTCTTTTTGTTTTCAGCCTTTGCATAACTGGTCTCTAGTTCTTAGCCAAAGTTCCATGTGAGTTTCATTTATTGTCTCATACACACACTCAGAATGTTAGTGCCTCTTATCATTAAGAAAATTGCAAGGACAAATTCCTGAAGAAAATGATTTACACTTCATGCTCTATACATTGAGTTTCACAGTTATTCAAAATTTCCAGGAATAGCAGATGTTAACTAGAAAAAAATAACATAATAAGCATTTACCAGTGGATGATTATAATTTTGTTTTTAATAACATACTCTCATAGATTTCATTATGAAACCAACAATCAGACCAATGTCTGGAAAACAAGCACAATGAATTTTCTAGAACTTCAATTAAAAATTAAAGCATTCCTTATCCAGAGTTACTGTACATGATCACAAACCCTGGAGTATTATCTTTTAGAATAGATACAATGTACAGATACCAAGATAGAAAGCAAATAAAGGGCAGGATAAAATAAAATTTAAAACAATAGCAATTTGAGGTCTCAGTTTCCTGTTCTTCCACTGAAAACAGTTCCTATTACACTTGGCAGTGTTAATATCTGTCATAAATTTATTAGATACTAAACTTTTACTGTATAAGTAGTCAGGTTAAGAAAATTACTCTTGAGCAGCAAGATATTAGAAAAATAAAATCAACATGATTTTGAACATGCAGAATTTCTAGCGACTTGCTAATCTATTGTCACAGGCTATACCAGCCCGATGCCTACTTAAACCTTGTGTCAAGTTGTGCACTGTGATGCAGAATAAAAAAGTCTTTAAAATTCAAAGAGCTACAACAGCGTATAAAGTTAAAATGTGACTTCACCTCGGAGATTTCACCAAAATTCTATTGTTTGGGGAATGCAATCACCTTGAAGCTCACACACTTCCCCCACAATTTGTCCCCAAAGTTTGCAACCTAGTAAAGAAGTTGGAGATTTGCCAGCTGGGAAACTTTGCTTTATACCCCTAAGCAAAGCTGAGGTGGAGGGAGATTCGTCGCCAAAGATCTGTTTCTGCACAATAACCCCCAGGTGCAAGAGCTGGATGGGAGTGGAGGAAGCGAAATTGAGTGCAAGAAGCAAGCCCTATTGTCTGCCTACAAGGTGTGCCCAAATTCCACCGCCTTGCTTCAGACACTTCTCCCTCTTTTCACTCCCTCTGCTTCCTCAGCTAGCCCTCACCCCGACTTTGAGCTGGACGTCGGGGAAGAGCCCCCGCGCCCCCTGTCCACTCCTCCCTCCCCGACCCAGAAAAGTTGAGGCTGGACTAAGAGAAGAGTGAAGAGTGGGGGCGGGGATGGGAAAGCAGCCTGAACTCGAAGTGTAAGGGTATCAGTCACTGCCGGGAAGGAAGCTCCGGCTTGTGAACTCTTCTTGAACCGAGATTTAAGTCTGCAGCCATAAATCACCGAGACGTAAACTCCGCCATTCAGCGCCGAGCGCGGCCGGTTGTGGCCCTGCTTACCTTAACTTCTGACGATCGCTGCGAGCGCAGGCTCAGGCTCGGGCTCCGGCCCCCGGCCCGGCTGGGCAGCCCGGCCGGGTCCCCTCGGTGCGGGATGGGGATGGACCCTCAGCATCAGCCGAGACGCGGGCGGGCGGGAGACCCGAGGCCCGGACGCCGCCGCGCAGAGATCGGTCGCCTGGCTGCTCCGGCACGGCTCGCCCTAGGCGGACTGGGGCGGCTCGGACCCCCCCTCCCCCCACCCTCCCTCCCGCCCCTCCCCCACACCCCCGCCCCCTGCCCTTCCCGAGGGCAGCAGCCGCGGCCCGGAGATAGCGCTGGCGCAGCGCGGGCTCTGCCTGGGCTAGTGGCACCGACTTGGGTATGTTTCTTATGAATATTACGCGCGGAGCAGCGTCTGATCGGGTGCGTGGGGGGTGCTGGGGGCGGGCGGGAGGGGAGACCGAGGCGGCCAGGGAAGCGCGGGCCGGCGTGGGGGATGGGGCTGAGGCGAGGGGAGGGACCGCAAGGAGAGGGGAGCTTGGCGGTGGCGGGAGGAGGGCGGCTTCCCCCACCCCCAACCCCCCCCTCGCTCCTGGTCGTCACTAAAGTCCAGGAAAATTATGCTAATGAGGACAAACGGCTCTCACAAAGGGGCTCGCTCGCTGGGCTCTATTTCTTAGGAATCCATTTGAGAAACCACGCAACCCCTCGGCCTCGGACATGACGGGCTGTGGGACAAGGGGAAAGAGGAGAACCAGAAATGAGTTCCTCAGACTTTGGGCAGCTTACTTCACCTGCCACTCCCAATTTTTGGGTTACTGGGATAGGGCCTTTCTCCCTAAGCCCAAGAGCCAACTGGACCGTTGTTGGTTATGTTTTCAGCAGAAACTAGTGACATCCTGGCACAGGAGGAAAGTGTCCTGGAGGGAAGTTACACCTTTGACCTAGCAGTGAAATTAGCTCTGTGGACTCAGGCACGAAGAAGGGTGCCTAGAACTCTGGGTCTCCAGCTCCCATGTGCCCATTGCACAGCGTAGACACTCGGCTTGCCCACAGGAAAGACAAAGCTCTGACCCCAGCACAAACGGACATCCAGGATATTCCCATCCTAATTAGAGGGGAGGCCCGAGCTTTCCTGGTTCTATGCCACAACTTTAAAGAGGATGGTATTCCTCCCAAACCTCCCTCAACTCCCCAGGTTCTGAAACAAACTCTGCAACAGCACAAGTGCCGCTAAAAGAGAGAAAGGGAGCTTTCGTGCAATTCCAAGGCGTCCACCGCGGTCCTTCTCAAAGGAAGGTGTTAAAAATATAAGTAGTATGTTTAAACTGTCAGGGAGCCAAAGTGTCACGTTAGAGCAAAAACAAAGCCTGGGGAAAGGGAGAAATCAGAAAACACTTTGGGCCAGGGTGGCCTCATGCATACCAATGGTTTTTGTCATTTATGGCTGGGCAAGATTTATGACTCGGCGCCCCAAAGCTGTAAACAGAGCGCAAAACAGCAAACACTTGTTCCTTATAGCATATTGCGGCGGCACAACTTGAAAGGGGGAACCGGGCTGTGTAGGAGGTGACAGCCAGCCGCAAAAATCCGCAGGGCGGCATTTTCTCTTCAAACCCGCCGGTCGGATGTGGCATTTGAAGAAAGAAGGCGTGGGTCAATAATCAACCCGCACTTTCTCCTCCAAATCGCTGACGCGACTCTAACCTCCTTCTCAACTAAACCAGCCGCAGGGAAGGCCAGCTCTCTGTGAGAACCTGCCCCGAGGAAGGGATCGTCTGGGCAGAGGACACCCGAGCAAGGGCTGGGGCTCCCGGAGCGCATACCTTTCCAGAGCGCTGAGACCAAGCCGCGCACACCGCACACCGAGCAGAGCAAACCATGGGGACTGGACCTGAGGCGCTGAGGAAGATCTGGTCAGGAGCTCATCTCGGGCCAGGCCGCATCCCTCCCCCAACTAAGTCGCTTCTGGGCTTCGGGCTCCACTGGAAGAATTGGGGCTCAGACTTCTAGTCGAAGGTCTAGTGTCCTGGCAGAAAGACTGCCGGTGTCCCTGCCTCATGACTGCCAAAATCTAAAGGACTGGCTTTGGAACAAACGCAGACAAGATGATTAAAAATAATTTACAATGGCGGAAAGTTTTTGTTGGTTGGTCATTGTTTTTTAAGAGAAAATATGCTTGTTGATTTTTGCCTCCAGACATTATTCAAACGCAGTTGTGCCCTTTCTAGACAAATCCCACAGCAATTCACCTGGCTTCTTCAAATCCACCGAGCCTTTCTTTGCTGAGAGGACCCCATGGGCCCCCGAACTTCCTTAGGTCCCCATGTTTCCTGATCTGTCATCCAAGGGGAGTACAAGAAAAGTTTCTCAGCAGTAGAAGAATATTTGGAGCAGCAAAGGTGCCTGGTGTTTCCTTTCTACCATCAAGAGGGTGTACTGCATATCTCTGAGGGCCTCAGAGCTCCAAGACCATCTTTACAGCCAGGGAGGAAGGTGAGGAGTAATTATTGGCAAGAACAAGCATTGAAATCCCAAAACAAGGAGGCAAATTACTGAGGAAATATACTTGCCTACGAAGGTGAGGTTGGAATTTTGAAGGTATAGGGGACCAGCCTTAGCTATTGTGGAGTGGCTTTAGATCTTTCCTGGGAGGAAAAACCAACCTGTGCTCTATAAAAGCAGCTTTTGGCTTCTTACTATGCATGCTTTGATACATAACCAGCTTGGAGAATCCATAGCTAGATATTTATTCAAGCGGCTGGCAGTGAAGTGACAATAAAAAGATGCCTCTAACAAACCTCTATTCCCTTTCTCATTCTTTCTAGTGAAACTATATTATTTATGAGTCTTTAACTGGGTCAAAAATGCACCAGAACTGGGTCATAAATCATATGAAATGCTGACAGGTAATTGAACAGCAATTAAAGCTTACATTTTATTTCCAAAGGGTGTTTTAAAGCACTTGAAATGGCCTCAGTTAAACATGGTTACCGCGGAGGCCGGCTGGGGAGGGCAGAATGAGCCCTTCTGCTCTGGAAAGTAAATCTCACTCAAATAGGAAGTGTGACTTGAGGGGTTTTTTTAAGCTAATAAAAAAATAAGAATTTTTAAAACATCAAAGAGGCAAATTAAATTCAGAACTCCTTGTAAGCACCCTTTTTCCTGCTCTATGAGCAAAGGAAAGTGGGAATTTCTTTTACCTTCCTAAGGAGTTTGTACTCTTCTCAGGATTGTGGAATCCCCAAAGCCCAATTAGCCTAGGCTTTCTGAGTAATTTAGAAGCATACAATTAGACTCTCTTCTCCCTCCATCCTGGCTGCTGCTGTTTCTGGGACTCTAAAACCAGAGAGATGTCTGCCTCTGCTTCCTGAGGACTGTGCCTCCAGCTTCCCTCCAACCCAAGGTGCACAGCCAGTTCTTGAATTCTCCGTGCTGGGTTGGAGACATACAGGAAGCACTCAGCACACCGATGAGATCCAAGCCTAGCCCCTGTACCGTTCCAAATTAAAAAATAACTCAGGATCCAGGTAATAAACTCAGCTCACCACCACCCCAAGCCTCTCCTAGGTCTGAGCTGTCTTCCCTCTCTCCCAGGCAGATGGTGTTCAGGGAAACAATGGCTCGCCCTCCGGGTCTACTGCCTTAGGTCTGGCTGAGCGGCTGAGCGTGGGGAAGCATGCCTTGCAACCTAGCACTGAATAAAGTGGCTGGAAGCATCATCAATAAAATGGCAGCACATCTGCACATTTCCCTCATCGATTTTCCTCTCCCATCTGCTTAGACTGCTCAGATCAGCCCAAAGCCTCCATCCCCGACAGGCAAACACAGCTAACCCTGGAGAGATTCCTCTTCTCAGCCACCATCCTCCACCCCTTCCATGAGGTCTTGCTTTCCAAATGGCACTGGCCTTTACCTCGGCCTATGCCGGCAGCTGCCGATGCTGCTGCCGCCACCGATTCAGGATCTTTCCTCTGCTGAGTCTCGGCTCCTAGGACTCCAGACCTGCCCGCTACGGTGCAGTGGACAAAGCCAACCTCATGCTGAAGACTACTGGCCCACCTAGTAACCCCTAAGTTCCCCCCTTCTTTGCACCCTGCAATACTTTTCAGGGAATTAAACTCAGAGTTTGAGACACTAAATGGTTTCAGTTCTAAGTGAGAAACAAAGGAAAAGAAAGGTTGAGGGTCCTGTCCATGAGCCAGGGTCTCCTTGCTTGACCTTTGTCTCTCACAGCTATAACTCATTGTAGATATGAACAATCAACGGAAATACCTTAAAATAAATTCCATCCTCCTGGTGTGGCCTCCAGTCCCATCGGCTGGCTAGCTTGCCCAGAACTGCTCCATGAGCGCTGAGAACTGCACCCGCTCTAAGAGTGCTCTCCGGAGGAGAAGGGGAAGGAGAAGGAGGAGGTGGGTGCGTGGGGGTGGGGGGGAAAGCTCTCTCTCTGTAGAGAATCTAGAAAACGTAATCACAGGCAAAGACTGCCTGGGTCTCCGCTCCAAATGCCACAATAATGTGCTGTATTATGTGTTCACGTAGTCATGCCTCAACTTAAATATTTTTATTTGAAACAGGGAATCACCAAAGAACCAGGTTTCCAAGCACAACATTTGGCTTTGTGGGAGGGGAAGTGGGGGACCTTGTCCAGTAATATGTAAGACTTCTGAATAGTAGGAAACTGGGGGCAATATCCCCCCCCTACACACATATTCATGCCACACAAGTCTGCTTGTTTTTTTTAACATGCACACCAAAACACAAGGGGACAGTAATGCTGTCCATATTAGACTCTACAGTGCTTAACTTTCCTTATAGATTCATGGACAAGTTGAATCCAGCATACCCAGGTCCCCTAGTTGCCTCTGGCCCAGAGGCCAGAGTGTCAAAACACAAGAGCCAAGCCCACAAATGACTGGCCTAATCAGCAAAGTTCTTCACACTCTGCCATTGTATGGAGTTAGCTAACACCCATGCAATATGCCATCTCCACTGGAGAAACCAAAAAGACCTATAATTACCTGACAAATGTTAAAGCTTCTCCTCTGAGTCCAGTTGTTCTTGCTCAGTGGAAATCCACTAGGCAAGCTGTGTTTGGCTATAGAGTGGTGGGTGAGGGCTTAACAAAATTTGGAGGGACCTAATGCCCTGGCCAAGCCTATACTGATGCATTCTCGCAATACATAGCTGAGTGATACATGAAATTATAGATTTCTAAATATGAAAAAATGTAAAAGAAAATGATCTGATTGCCTCTGCAAGAGGGAACAAAAAGTATCAACCTTTACTTTATGCTAACTTATACTATACTTCCCTTATGCTAACCTATAAGACAACCTGGGAACCTCTCTGCAGGTAGGTCTGTCTGCTTTCCCCTAAGACAACTCTAAATCTACCAGCAGAAACTGAACTGAATCAATTCTGCTCAGAAAGAACCTGGCTAAACAAATTGGCCCGCCACCCCTAGTCCTACCTTCTGCTTGGTAACATTGCTCACTCATTTCTTTCTTTCTTTCCTTTTTTTCCTCACTCACTTCTTTCACTAGCTGTCTAAAGTTTCCCTTTCCAGTATTATTTTATGGATTTTGAGTGCTCTAAGGACAGTGGAATCCTCATGCCATATATATCTTTTTGTTGTTTGAGAGTGAGTTTTCAGCTGCCTATGTCTAAGTGTGAGGACTTACAGTAGCAGCTGCAGGATACTGTGGATGATTCATCCCCTTTTCTCCTCCCCTGAAGGGGGACACAGGGTTTGATACAAGTCTAAAGCCCCAAGTAAGAGGGCCTGGATCTAGCAGGGTGCCCAGTTCAAAAGAACAATAAAAAAGGACACAACCTCTTGGAAGCAAGAGCTGGCCTAAGCTGGTAGCAATATTTCCATAATGCTTTGCCTAATAAATTAGAGGATGAATAAATTGGTTTCCAAATGTATTCTCTTTTCTTCAAGGACTCAGTATACTCCTACTCTTCCCCTCTGCTTCTTATTTCCCCTTTCCAATCATTCACACTTTCCAGATACCCTAGAAATGACTTGAAAGAGGGGCTGGGGATTTAGCTCAGCGGCATAAGTGCCTGCCTTGCAAGCAGGCAGTTGTGAGTTCGATCCCTGGTACCAATAAAAACAAAAAAGACCAAAAAAAAAAAAAAAAGAAAGAAAGAAAGAAAGAAAGAAAAGAAATGACTTGAAAGGGAAGTATACCTCAATTGCTAACAACTCCCCCCACTCCCACCATGTTTCTACACAGCTATCAACTATGAGATGAGGAGGGCACCCCTTCAGAGTTAGTTTTGAGCAAATCAAAACTCTTGAGGCCATTAATCTGTAGTAGAAGTCACTGGTACTGCTTCAGACAAATGCCTTAACGCTAGGAAGGCCTACAGGCTCCCAGCTCTAGGCTGGGGCCTCTATACCTCTAACATCCCAGTTAATGCTCCAACTGCTGTTTAACAATTAACATTAAAGACTTGAGATGGAATAGAATGGGGTGATTTGGTGGAGTAAGAAGGGAAAACTCTCAGGAAGCCAGAGGAACTCTAACTTTTGAGGTAAAAATAGTTTCCCTGAGAGCAATCTTGAATGGCACAGCCAAGCTGACAGTGTTTCTTCACCATTCTGAATTCCACTTTTTTGAAGCAAAGCTATGGACCTTTTTAAAACCCCAGCAGCCAGAAGCCCATCCACTCACTCCAGCCTCCAACCTGGCCAGGTCTGGGAACTTCATGCTGTCATTCAGGCCTCCAGAGCCAAAATAGGGGAAAGTTGGCTTAGAGGAGTACACATCTAGGGATATAGATTGTGAGTCAATATTTGCAAGGCTGTTGGCAGATTAGATATAACTGTACTCAAACAATGCAATCTGATTTCCCTATCAAAACCACACTTAACATTTTTATTAACTCTAGTGGTTTTTCTATTCAGCCTAAGGTAAAGCTCTCTGAGCTCACTGTGTGTGTGTGTGTGTGTGTGTGTGTGTGTGTGTGTGTGTGTATGTGTATGTGTGTGTGTGTGTGTGTGTATGTGTGTGTGTAGATGACAGATCATTATTTAACATGAGATATTTTTTGTGGGTGGAACTGCAGTACAAATGGACTCCAAGTTCTCCGGACACATGTGGATGTAGGAGCTGAACTCCTATAGCTGTTTATACCTGTAATTGTTCTGTTGTTTGCAGAAATACAAATCATATGTACACACTGAGTTGCAAGTTCCTGAAATGTCCCATCTATATTTGATACAAACAGACATGCAGAAGTTGAGAAAATAACCCAGTTATGGTTACTCTGTTTACTTCCTATCTGATAAAATAATAATTGTATCACGAACACCATACCAGCCTTAAAGCATCACTGAATAGCATGTTTACAGTTAATTAGCAACTTGATTTATACCTGGGGAGCAAATTTCAGAAAAGACTCAGGCCTTGGGAATACAAACCAAAACCTCAAAACTTAAAACAAACAAACAAAAAATTCTGAAAACTTCTTAAAAGCAATAATTCTCTTAAAGAACAGAGCAAACTCATTCCTTTATACCAAGCTTCTTATCCTAAAAGCCCCTCCCCCAAATGGGCATGTAATTTATGGATCTTTTACAAGGTAATAAACCACAGTAATTACCTCCCTGCATCCCAAACTAAGAGAACAAATTATGCCACAACTTGAAAAGAATTTTAAAGAGTTTTTTCTTATTCCAAATAGGAAAAGAAAATGTTGAGGCAGTAGAAGACTGGATCTTTTCCCATAGGAAGAACTATAATCAGCCCTGTTGAAAGACTGCAGAACACCCGATACTTGTGAAGGCCTACACATTGGAAATACAAGAACTTCTCTCCTGTCATGGAGAAGCAAAAGGATCAGAGAAACTGAAAGACATCAGGCTATAAGGCAAGTTTCCTCAACCAGGTACTAAGACTGGTGACAATTTCCAAAGCAGCAGACACCTCAGTGGACAAGCAGCTCAGCCCACACAGCAGCCACAATGCCCGTGGCCTCTACTTGCTTTTGCCTTGCAGTTTCATGCAGTGGTTTGTTTGGGTCTTGCAGGAAAAAACAAACACATCCCCTTCGCCTCCCCTAACCCCATGTTTGGCTTCACAACTGCTTTCCTCCTGCCCATTACAGGCTTTGGGGGAGACTCTTTGTCTGCCTCAAGCCCAGCACTGTTGGGCATGAAGCTGAAGGCAACTCAGCTCCAAAACTCCTCTTAAGTTAAATATTGACCAGAATCTCTTTCAACCTGCTGTAGTTGCCAGGAGCTGGATAGAGCAAACTCTTCCTAACTGCATGGTGCAAAGTTCGCCGCAAAGAGTTCTGGCACATTGCTTACCTCCAAAGATGTTTAAATCTGGACCAGGAATTGTTTCCAGCTTCAGGCCCTCAGGGAATCGTTTTTTCCTGTGTCCAAGCACTCTGTGGACAAATAAACAGCAGAAAGTGAACAGTGGCTGCAAGGGAAGGGAGTTGGAGGACCAGAGTTGAAAATGTGGCCTGTGCGGGTTTCAGGATAGCCCCGGGGTGATGCAGACACAGAGGAGTTGCCAGGGCATTTGTCCATGCAATGGCACTCAACTCGAAATGTTCCAGTCTGCAAATGACCTGAAGCTGGTGATTTATTTTTGTAAAATAAATACATACTCCATCTCTGCACCCACACTCTCTCCTTTTCTTTCTTTTATAGGAGGAGGGAGAAAATGGACTAGATGGTTAAAGAAGATAGGAAAAAGGTGGAAGAGGCTTTGCTGGTGGTTCGGAGTCAGCTGGCAGGGCTCCTCACGCACAACTTGGGGAATGTGAATGCATGCTTTATTTTCTTTTGCCAACAAAGGGAAGCCTTGTCTGGAAGCATTCAATCAGGATTCTCCCGAAACCTCACTAATAGTGTTCATTTCTGTTGGTGGCTCAGTTCACAGACTCAGATCAGTCTTGGGAGGTTTTATCTCCTGGTTCATTCAAGTGCTAGGCGGCCACTTTTTGGTCTTGCTGGGCTGGCAGGCCAGTGACTGCTGCTGGAAACTGGGCAAGACTACAGCAGGTTGCTAAACAACATTCAATCAATGCTTAGCAGTCAGGAATCTGTAAAACTAAAACGCCTTGATTCTGTAATCTCACACTTCACAATATTTGCAACACTCTCTTGTGCTCTAACCAGGAAATCTGATCCTGGAACCCTCAGCCAACTTTCTGGGGGAAGGATACCCTGAGAAAGAAACAGAGAATCCACTGGTGAGTTCTGCTGGGACTCTAGTTTATATAGCTCTAATCTTGAGTCCACCACTTTACCCAGATGTAGGTAACTTCTCAGACTCTGACCTTCTCCAAAACAGACCTCTCCTGCCTTTCCCGCATCCATGTGAGAGGGTCTACCAAATAGCTGAACAAGCCCTCTGACTCTGGGCTTCAGAGCCCCCAGCATGATGAGCAAGTGGCAGCAAACTGACAACTGCCTTCTGCCACAACTGCCTGCAGCCTTTAACCTCCATCCCTGCTGGGGACACAGAATCCAAGCTGGACCCTTTTCCCTTCTTCACCCTTGCCCTCTGTATCTTGAAAGGAGAATCTCCAGCCTCGGGGCTCCTGGCAAGACCGAGCTGGGTGGGGCTTAGACATCCTACACTTTGCACTTCAATTTCGCCCCAGAAAGCTCCTCTATGCCACCATCCACCGCCGTCACAACCTCCACCACTCATCAGGCTGAGTATTATTATTATGGTTATTATTATTGTCGCTATTTCCTTATCCCCAAGGCTAATATTCTCGGCTGCCGTTCCCCATAAATCCTTCAGACTAATGAGTCAAAGAGAAAGAGAGATGCTGCCCAGGTCTCTAGCTCTGCAATGGCCGCCGCCGCCTCGCCCCGTGGCCTCACTCTCCGCGTTTTTGGCGTCCGCTTGCTCCCTCGATCGCCTGGCGCAGTTGATTTATGAAAGCCCGGAAAATTGAACAAAGCCGCGCGCCCGTCCTGTGGTATCTCTGCAGCCTTCCTCAGAGTGAATCAGAACATTACCAACTGTCTGCGCATCCGTCCCACTTCATCACCAAAGCCAGGATGTGACCACAAAAAAAAAAAAAAAGCTCCCAAACTCACGTTTCCCTGGACACAGCGCACTCCCTGGACTCTCAGGAACCCGGCAGAAAAGCACCAGGACCTAGCCAGAGACCACCAGCTCTGGTTCTCCTCGCTAAATGGCTCCCTCCTGCTTTCCTGAAGGAGTTAAAAGCCTTTGAAGATAAATCTGAGGGTGCGAGTATTTAAAAATCAAATAGAAATTTGGAGTCTCACTTCTGAGAGATTCATTCCTAGTGAGGCCCTGACGACTCCGATCCATTCCAGACGATCCGCATTAATTATTTAATGAGTCACGTGACCGCAAAGATTACAATTTCAATATCTCCCTCCAACAGGCTTTATACCTTTATCAGCTGCAACCAGGGTCCCTGTTTTTTGTTTGTGTGTGCGTGCGTGTGTGTGTGTGTGTGTGTGTGTGTGTGTGTGTGTGTTTTGTTCCCGAGGCCTCCTGAGTTCATTCACCCTTGTGCCTTGGGGCAAACAACCGTCAAAAAATCACAGGGAGAACATAACAGAGTTAGTCAATCTGGGAGGAGGAGCATTGTGGGCAGTAGGGAGCGCACTGCTCTCCAAGTCACCTTGATATCCATCAGCTCCTGAGACCAGTGCCAATCACCTGTCTGAGTGCCAAGTCTAGGGAAGTTTGGTGACATATCTTCCAAGGCAGCTTTGATGCTACACTGGGCAAGATCCCTTCTAAATCCAGGCTATGCACACCTGTAGCTATTTACATCAGGGGTAAGCCCATGTACATACCGCATCCTATTCTCTTTGAAGAATAGCTTCTGCTGGGGAATAAAATGACTGTGTGCTTACCATATCCATGTCCAAGGTGACACCAAAGGCTCCTCTCAGCCTACACACTCATAGCATAAAAACATGGAGAGGTGGAATATTCAGCTGCTTCAGTTTCCTCATATGGAAACTGAGAAGATTGAATTCAAATGACTTCCAGATCTCTTTCAACTTGGACAGTTTTTCAGTCTGGATTCTCTTTCAGTTCTAGGAAGCCTTTCTAGAGAGAAGACTGGCCTGAAAGAGGAAAGGATGTGCTTCATGAATTTGGAGCCTTCAGAAGAGATGCCAGAGTTCTCAGCCAGAAGTTGCAGACTAAAAGGTTTTATGACTTGATACTATCAAAGAGGCATAATGCACAACTCTTCCTTTTCCTCCCCACTCTTCTCTCCTCCTCTTCTTCCTTCTCCTCCAGAGCTTGTCCTTCCTAGGTCCAAAGCGGTTATTCTTGATGCGGTGTGTTGTGGAGAACAGGTATCAGGAGCCTCAGTTAGGAAAGGTGAGCTTGAGTTCTTCAATATGAGATGGTGCCTGGGAATGCAGAGACCAGGGAGGTGCCAGAGATACCCTGCTGCTTGCACAGAACTCATTCAAGTAGGAAGCCTCGGGTTTCTAATTATTTATTCTTTGGGTTTTTTTCTTTCATTTTACAGAGTTGCTGATCTGTTTCTGTGCTGGCCCTGCCAGAAGGAAGGCAGCATTGAGAAAAACAGCAGTTTGGAAGTTTGGAGGGTTATGGGACCTCAGGAGATATGATGATTCCTATTGCATGGGGAGAGAGGAGAGAATGAGGGGAAATGGGGCACCCTGGGACAGCTGGATATAAAGAGGATACTGTGCAGCAGGCCTTACCCCATATATCTAGGTAATCTTCTCATGAGCTCCATCCTGGGTATTAAGTACTCTGCTATGCCTGTCACAGTTGAATTCCTGCTGTAATAAAACACCGGGTATATCGTAGATTTCAGCAAAACTAGGGAAGAAAGCCTGCAAGTGCCATTTTTCTTCAAGGGGGAGAGTGTTAAGTACTTAATTCAAACTGTGACCATTAAAGTGTCTCCTATCCGATTTAGGTTGATTTCAGATGTTGGCAAAACTTTTATCTCCAGAGTCATGCACAGCTTGGCTCTGGGACTGAAGTAGATGAGTGTGTATTAAAGAGAGGAAGGATAAAGAGGGAGCAGGAGACCATGTTAAGGGTCATCTTAGTAGGAGGAATACAGAGTTTACACAAAATACTGTCTTTAAAGGTCAAGGGTTTGAGGGGTTAGTAAGGTTTGCCTTAAAAAAAAAAAACTAATGAGATAGAAAATTTGTCCTCTCAGTGAACTCTTATGGTTGCCCTAGCGAAAGGCAGACAATGCACGATTTTGAAGCACAAAGTGACATTTCCTAAGCTGTTATTACAAGAGCCCTTAAAGGCAATATCTGAAATAGACAAAATGTGAAAAAATGACACCATGATTTGAATCACTTTTGATAATTTTGGTTTATAAAGTTTACCAATATATATCCTAATAATGCATTTTGAACAAAAATGCCATTTTATTCTAGAATATCACAAAAAAATGGTCTTGATCCTCTCTTTCTTTTCTAGATAGACTATAAGACCGAGAGAAAGAAATCATTCCCTTTACCTTTAAACTACTGCCTCTAGCATGAGGCTAATTAATGTTCCCATACCCTTCCTTCCCCACAAAGGAGAAATATAAGAATTTACCTTAAATGATGATAATCTGCCATTTGAGGTTTTGCAGCTTGACACTCAATTTCCACCAAGAGTCTAGGTATTTGTTTTTTGAGCCGATAGCCAAGATGCTATGCCTTTGCCTGAGACATTATTTGCAAGAAGATCCCTCTCTCCTTCACAGACTTTTCCCAGAGAATGCCTTTCAGAATTGCTGTTGAATTACAAAGAAGTATTTATTGTATGAGGTGATTAATGATTCCTGGGAAAATTGCTATTTTCAGCATGATTTAATTTCGTTTTACAAGTGCGTGTATAGGGGGAGGGTTAATAAGTTTCAGCAGTACTTGCATTGCCTCCAGAAATGCCTGACACCCTTTCACACCTTATAAAACGTACTTTATGCCAGTTTTTTCTTGATTTGAGATAGTGTGTAGTGTGTGTGTGTGTGTGTGTTTGTTTGTCCCTAGATTTTCTCAACCCCATGCAGTGGCCCCCGTCACTTCTCTCTTAAATCTGGCTGTAGGTAGAGAGCGGGTCATATCACATGCAGTGCAGCAGGGATAAAAGGGAAAGCAGCAGTGATACTGGCTAAGCATTTTGCCATGATGGAAAAAATGGGTTTTAAATTCCTGATATTGCAGAGATAGGTGGACACCCTTTCACTTCCATTAAAGTTACTACAGATCTAAAAACTATTTTTTCAAGGGAGATTGACAATTCCAGGGTTATTTTTTTCCTGTATCATGTTGCAGTATACTGTCTACCATAAGCACCAAGTTTAAATCAGTATAAAAATACTAGAGTGTGGCAATTGAGAAGTGAGTTATTTTCATTACGTGGATCTAGGTTTCTGGAAGTAAGATATCAAAGCATTTAAGAAAAGTGACCATAATTCAGAGGCTGGCATTCTCCCAACAGTACTCTTCCAGGTCTACTTTGCTTGAGGTGTTTTAGGTGTCACTGTGCCTTTTTGTTTCCTCAAAAGATATCTTGGAGGATGTACTAAGAAAATATATTTTAGTTAGAAAACTCTTTCAAAAAAAAAAAAGAGAAAAAAGCAAACACAAAAATTCCCAAGCTATAGAGGCCCTCAAGATCAGCCAAGAAACAAAAAGCAATCTCAACCCTTTGCACAAACTATTTTTTAATCTCCAGGGAAACAGGCAGATTAAGTGTGAAGGTGCAACAAATACCAAAGGGACCACTTCTTTCCAAGTGTGCTCAGAGTTCAGCTTGCTGAACAGCTGCAGAAACTCCTGGGCCCACTGCTCTACATGGTTTCACCTTTCATTGCAGGGAAGGACACGTTCCTATGTGTTACACAGACTTGAAGCCTGAAAGCCTCGCCAAGTTTGGGAAGAAGAGGAGCCCTCTCAAAGCTCAAGAGCCTTCTTGGTCTTTGGAATATTTCCACAGTGGATCAAGCTTGACAAGAGTTCAGCTCAAATTGAACACACACACACACACACACACTCTCTCTCTTTCTCTCTTTCTCTCTCGCACAAATTACATGCACAGTCAGAATCCATGTGAACACAGCTAAACCATTTACAAGGCTTTTTACATGCAAGGTCAAGAATCTCAGTCCAGAGGAAAAGCTTAGGAAACACACAAATCTGTCTCTTAGATTTTTAATATTTTTTAAATGAAGTTTATTCTCGGCACATGGCTTTCTATACAGCCATATCACAATTTATACAGTTGCACATGGGTCTAAATGCATCCCCCTCTTCCCAGAGATAGCTCCCCAGAATAAGTCAACAATATCTTAATAACAATATCTTAAATAAATGCAAAAAAGGGAAACAGTCACACCTACCATCAAAATCTACATGTTTTGAGAATTAAATAATCTTGTGAGGTCCACAGTATCTACTCATTTATTCAGTTCATTACAACCTTGTATGAGCTGCCTTAATGGATGAGGGAAAGGTAAAGAAGATGGGAAAGGGTCTGCTTTCTTCTGCTTATACAAATATACACATCCCCAGTCAGCATGCACTGTCCAGCTGACTTTATATAGCTCAAGCATTATCTGATGCCAAGTGGTCCTTCCCAGGTATCCAAACTTGGCACCCTTCTTCAGGCCAGCAGATTGTTCCACCAAACAGCACCCCTGAACAACTGTCCTCTCTTGGGTGGCAACCAGCTCCTGCTTCTGGGTGGATGGGGGGGAATAATGTCTTCTTTTGGTTATCCTTTTCAACAAATTGGGTTTTATTTTGGTGTCTGTCACAGTAGAGAGATGGGGGAGGGGTAGATAGGGAAATGGGTGGAAGAGAAAAAGCAAGTAAGGGACAGAAACTGACCTAGGTGTCTAGAAGACTATATGGAGGAAGGAACGGGGGTGGAGGCACCAGGGAAGGAGTGGGGATGGGTGTGCGGGCTCTGAGTTTGTGCTTTCCCTGGTAGGCCCGAAGAGGCCTGGGTGGAGGCTGGGTTGGAGGATCGCATCTTGGTGTTGGGCAGTTTGTGATCTTTCTTCCACTTCATTCTTCGGTTCTGAAACCAGATCTTGACCTGGCGTTCAGACAGGCAGAGCGTGTGGGCGATTTCAATGCGGCGGCGCCGGGTCAGGTAGCGGTTAAAATGGAACTCCTTCTCCAGCTCCAAGACCTGCTGCCGGGTGTAGGCGGTTCGAGAGCGCTTGGGCTCCCCTCCGTTATAACTGGGGTTCACTGAGCGCCCAGAACCCCAAAGAAGAAGGCCAAGAAGGAAGGAGTGGAAGAGAGGGGAAGGAGGAGGAGAGAGAAGATAGGGTGGGAAGAGCAATTGGACATCATCATTATATAATAAGCTGACACCAAGTTCACACAAGATACATAAAACCGCAAAGAAAATGTTTCACAGGCTATTGACAACGAGAAACACCCGAGAGCCATAAAGAATGGTGCTGGGCATCGGGGCTGAAGAAAAGCTTCAAAGACACATGGCCCGAAGCCTCTGCCAGGGCAATTAAATTTATGGGGGCTATAATTACTGCCCTAACAGTTTGGCGTCTCGTAAATCTCCCGATAAAGGGACCATGGGTACAAAAGGGTTCTCATGTTGGGATCAGGCTGCTGGCTGGCGAGTAGGCACCCGCACCCCACAGCAGCCCGGGCAGAATGTGGGTTCCCCTCGTGAGGCCCCTTCCCGACCCCCGCCCTGACCCTGAACCCGGGCCTGGCCACAGCCCACCCTCCCGCGCCTCCCCAGCGGCGCCACATACCGGCGCTGACATGGATCTTCTTCATCCAGGGGTACACCACGGGCTCCTTGCCCTTCAGGCCGGGCGGGCCCTTGTCCGCCAGCAACAGCGGGCATGCGGAGGCGCTGCCCCCTGCCGGGACGCCCGGAGTGGCGGGGGCCGCCTCGCAGCGCCTGGAGGGCACTGGGGGCGCCGCGCGGTGCTGCGGGGGAGGCGGCGGCGGGACGTGGCTCGCGTGCAGGCCGCGCGCCGGGCCCTTGGCGAGCGCCGGGGGCTGCTCGGGCTGTGGGGGCCGCCCGGGGCTGGCCCCGCCGCGGTAGCCGTAGGGGTAGGCGGCGTCTGCGGCCCCGGGCGCCGGGTAGAGTGCGGCTGCGGGGTAGGTAGGCTCGCGGGCGGCCCGTGGCGCGTAGTAGGAGGCGGGGGGCTCGCGGCTGCCGCCTGCGTGAGGGAGCTGGGGCTGCGGCGGCGGCAGGTGCTGGGTCGCGGGTGCCGGGGGCTGCTGGTAGCCGGGCCCCCCGCCCGGGCCTCCGTCTCCGCCGCCCGGGCCGCTGTGCTGCGCGTACTCTTCGAAGGGAGGGAACTTGGGCTCGATGTAGTTGGAGTTTATCAAAAACGAGCTCATGGTCATTAATTTGTGAAGTGCAAAAATACTAATTTTTCTCGCGTTGTCGTTTTTCTGGGCTGGCGGAGGCCCCTCCCCCTCTCGCCTGGCCTCCCATCCCCCTTTCCTCTGCGCCCTTCCCCTCCCCCCGCTGTCAAGTACCCTCCCCTCCCCCTCCCGCCGACGCCACCGCCAAAGTTCGAGGCGCTCCTCCCCCGCCCGCACGCGTGCGCGCGCGCGTTTCGCCCCGGCCTCGCGCGCGCCCCGCCCCGCCCCGCCCCACGTGCAACGCCCTCGCCAATGGGCGCTCCGCGCGCGCGGACCCGGATCAGGAAACGCGCGGGTGGGTGATGGATGCTGCTGTCCCGCCCGAGGCGGGGGCAGCGAGCTAGGGCTTCGGACCTCCTGCCCCAGTGACTTGAATTCCTGCTGGGAATTCGGGGCTTGACAGGCAGTGGGTCCTCTCGGGCCCCATGCGGGTCTGTCTTCTGACCTACCCCTCTGAGAAGCGGGCGGCTGCGGCTGACTCGGAACTCAGTCTGGGCGCGGGTACTCCAGGGTTCGAGGCCCTCCGGGAGAGCGAAGGGCATCGAGACCAAGGGACATCCCGGTTTTTATCCTGGCCCTGGAATAAAACGAATGAGGCCAACACACCCGTTTTCTCGCCCCGTCAATTCTTTCCCCACACACTACGTTCTGGTCCGTTTCTGGGTCCTTGCTATGAGAAGCCTGGCAGGAGCTGCACAGTGCGGAGATGGGGCAGCTTAGAGAAATCTACACAAAGATGCAAAGCAGGGCCATCCCAGTGTGGCCGGCTGAGCACTTTCTATACATTTTTTTTTCCTTTTATTCTTTTACAGGCCCACTCTGGGTTTTTTCCCTAATAGCATCTAATTTGATGGAATGTGGACATAATTAAATATGTCTCTTTTGACTAGGTGCGCCTGTGAGAGACTGTGGCCCAAGGATAGAAATGGAGAAAAGCAGCGCCTCCACAACAAATGAATAAATAAGTAAATAAATGGAGCTTTGAAACGAGTGGCTTCCTATTTTACAACAATTCCCCAACAAGCCCTTGTCGGGTCTGACTGAGGACATCTCTTTTGGAGCTAAAAATTTTTCTTTCTCTTCTGGATGCTGCTTTCTCAAATTGTGTCTGGGGCTACAGTTATATTTACAGGACAGTTATAATTTCTGAATTGCTAAGAATTAGCATATTAACGATATCAGTAGTTCCGGAAAGGAGGGAGAGGGAACTGTTGCCTGCCATTTGGTAATTGAAATTTGATGGATAAACTAATTATGCTATTATTAACAAATAAATTACTTATTCATCCCACCTAATGTTGATCTTTGAAGTAAATACTGATACCTTATTGCTAATGTGTGCCTGCCCTTGTCTGACTTATATACACACCTATATCCTCTTTTCTGGCTAGATTAAAGCAATGTCCAGTCTAAAAATAGCTTTCACACTGGCATGCAAAACAAGAATATTTCAGCTGGTGCACCTTGGTTGATTTTTCAAAGAGCAGTACTAACAGAATTCTCACAACTGAGTTTAGAATGGCAGACAAGGAAAGTTACAGCCCAAGCCTGAGGACACTTCAAAAAGAATGTTACTTCTATCTTCATTTATATCAGTTACTCATGTGAATTACTAAATGCTGGAATATATCCATTTGATGGATAGTCATTTAATGCTTAGCCACGTAAAGCCTATTATATGGGACGAATCTTTAAACTAGGTTAGGGAAAGAGGTTAAAAAAGGGATCATGTTAGCTTTTTGCCTGAATCTGTAATTGCCCTGAAGTGGTACAAAGAGGTTTGCCATATTGGGTATATGTGGAGTGCTGTCCATTGATATGAGGGCCTCTGGAAATTTTTTGTTTTTAATGAAATTTGAGTTAAACAGAAATCAACACTGATTGTAATCTTTAGACAGTCTTTCTAGACTGGAAGAAAGGAGCTAGCCTGTAATACAACTGCCTAAACTGATATGTCTTCCTAGCAAAAAAAAAAAAAACAAAATGTACACAGAATATAACAATATATACATATATAGCATTATTAGAAATCTGGGTCTGTAAGCTTCAGGGGGAGAAAAAGCATGAAACCTTGCCTTTCTCATGTCATCAGCTTTGAGTGCTAGGGTCTTAACCGTCTGTTTAATATTTATAGATACCGAAACACAACTCATGTTGTCCAGCCTCAGAACCTTCTACTGAGTTTCTATTTTTAAGTATTAAGGAGACACAGGCACTGTTTTGTATACAGTTGAACTAAATGAGTTAACTGTGCCTGTGTTTTGTGTGGTTCTATTACTTTAGGAAGATGGGCTTACACAGAATTCCCTCAAGGCCTGTAACTTGTCTTTGCGGTTCCTATCATAAACACAAACGGAGCCAGGACCACCAAGTGTTATCTCACACACCGACATTTTGACATTTTACTGCAAGATTTATGGCTATAATAAACAATCTCAGTACCTTTTCTGAACCTTCCACAATCTCCCTTTGCAAGCCATAGCATAATTCTATTGAATCAAATAATCTTTTTGAAAGACATCTTTTTAAAAGCATCTCTTATCATCATGTAAGATTCAAGACACCAAGGAAAAACTAGGAAGATACTAACTCGATTAAAAAACAAACCGAAGTTTACCAGAAGCATCTTGCTTGAGAAAAGATGGGGTGCTCTCAAATCGAGCAGAGAGGGAGCAAGCTAATCTTCGCACACCAACTGGCTCCAGTCCCAAGCACGGTGAAAGCGTTATCCTTTTCTTGGGAAACTGGTAAGCACATCTGCTCATTTCCACATGGAGGGATAACATATATTCCCAACAAAAGCTTTCTTAAAATCCCATTAAGTGAAATAACTTTTCTTCGTGTCCTCACATCCCAGAAGGAGAAGGAGAGCGAAGGGAGTCTGTGGGAGAGGGAGGGTGAGAGGGAGGCAGTGTTTGCATCTGATTTGGTTTGAATCTGATTTGAATCATTTTGAATATATTTGGAACAGCCTTCCCTCTTCAATGCAACCCTGTCCCAAGTTTCAAAGTGACCGAACAGTGACACCGTGTGCATTTTGTTTCTTATTAATCTTACACATTGACAGTCTTTGTTAAATCACAAGGCGCGCCCTTCACCAGCCGACATTTTCATATTTGTTAGACGCGCTGACCTGAAGTTCACCTCGGCCTTGGACTTTGCGTTTCTAAATGGTCTATACAGTGTCTTTTAGAGAGCAGGGTGCTTTGCCCAGGTCATTCCTTCTCAGGAAAAACCAGGGGAAAAAGCAAAGGAAATGTAAACGTTATGGAATGTATTGACTGTATTTGTCCTTTGTTCTTTAGAGCCAGAATCACCCAGACTTGTTCTCTATCTGTCTCCTTTTTGGAGCAGACTAGGGGAATGGCAGAAATTCAAAATGCCTGATGGTGGTATTTAGGGCTTCCTCTACCTATCCTAGATGTTGTTGTAGAGGATAACACTTTACCAAGCGTTTTACTAATTAATTGTTTGGGGGTAGTTTCCTGGTAGCAGTTTCAAACGATGAACACAATCTAGGCATAAGGACTTAAATTCATTTTAGGATTTTGCATAAATTTTAAACAGGGTTGTGAGAGAGGACAAAAGATCAAAATCTGAATAAAGAGATTTCTAAAAACTCTATCACTTCTGTCTGTATCTTTTTCTTTCACTTTAAAGACTAATGCAGTAGTATTAAAGTTAAAATGTTTTTAAGGTGTGTTACAGTTTTAACAAAAAGCACAATGAAAAGATTCTTTGAAAGAGACATAATTGCCTCCGTAAGAGAGGGAGTTTCCGTTTTTTCTTTTCCTTTCACTAGCCCAGATGTGGTAATGTGTTCACTGCTGTAACAGCAATCACCACAGTTGTTTCCTTTCTTCTATTTCATCTGGCAAAACCCCATTTGGCTCTAAGCTCTTGGCCAGAGTAAAAACTTTACACTACCCAGTAGAAGCACTCCGATTACTTCCATAAAAGCAGTGCTTGGGAAATATTTACTTCACCACTGAACATACCTGACACTATTAAATCTAATCAACCTGAATATAGTGGGATGATCTTAAACACCCTTGCAAGAGTCTAAATTCTGAATAGTTGGGTTATCTCAAAACTTAAAAAGAAAAACCAAGGAAAAATAGTTTTTTCCCCCAATGTTTTCCTACAATGATCCCTTGAAGGTCAATACATAGAGAAGAGAAATATGTCCCCCATAAAATAGACTCTAATGGCAACAACACTTAAAACTAATCTAGATCCATAAAATATTGTTTAGCTCTTCAGTTGCAGCTCACACATGACTCATGGTTCTAGTCTGCTTCTGTAATATACTATTCTCTTTTCCACTCTCCCATCCTTCCTCTTTAGCTTTCTTTCCTCTCTCCTCAGCCACCTCCCCCCAATTCCACATGTATTTAAAAAAATATTTTCTGAAGAACAGAAGTCTATCATGGTGGTCTTACAAACTGGCCTGGCATTTATAGATTTCACCTTTCTTCATTCTTTACAGTTACTTACTTGTAGATTGTAGCATTTATTTTAAACTCAGTTGTGGTTTAACAATAATAAATATAGCATAAATGTCAGCAGTTTCAACAGCATGAATATTTTCCCCACACCAATGAACATTTTCTTACTGGTGGTGGTGGTGTAATTCTGTTCCTTTCAGGAGGATTTCCACTTTCTTCCCTTCCCTTTCCAGCTCTAAGAATTCTTTGCTTTTGGGGGTTACAATTTCAGAAATAAAAACATGTTCTATGTTTGAAAATTGCAAAGAATACATTTTGCAAAAAGTGGTGGCATTTGCCCTTATCTTTGCACATTTTAGGGGTCATTATATGTGCTAAAAGGAAAAAATAACTGTGCCCAATCCAAATTCTCTTTTCCAAATTAAAGAGGTTTACTGTGCTGTTCTCTTTCCTTTGAGAGAATGATAGAACATTGGAAACTTGCTACATTATTTCTTAAAGGCCTACTACTGCATTTTGAGCATTTTTATTTTGTGACAAACCCACAAACCACTCCTGGTTCCCAACATCTAAAGTGTTGGTGTTTCAGTAATCTATGCCTATTTACCTGC